AATATTGTAATCATTTCTTATAATACCATTTCCTAATGTAATTATCCAGATATAATTTTTTGTGGTCACCTGTTGCACTGTGTTCACATCAGAGTTCCTCTGGACACTCTACCTCATTTTGTTCCCCATAGTTCTTCTAGTAGAATATGGAAGTCCTTACCAGTTTCCAGTTGCGATCCTCTGGGGTGGTGAACCATGGAGAATGTGACCACTTCCATTTAGTTGAGAGTAGGGTGGTAGTGTTCTGCTGTTGTAGATGGCATTTGATCCTCCAATGATGTGCTCCATCTCTGTATGGTGGGTTCTGGAGGTTGACATTGTGCCCAGCTTTTGTGAGGTTCTATCCAGAGAGTGTGGTTGCTTATATTTTCTAGCTGTAATCCACTTCTGTGCAGTGTGATTTGGAGGTGTGGTCCTATCCTGAGGACAATTGTTTTAGAGTAGATCTTTCACGTTGCAGTTCATCTCTTTGATTGGGATTCATCATCCTACCATCATCTGGATGTCATTTCCCAGTGAGTGGTTTTGGATTCAAACTGGATCAATCAACATAAATCCTTACACTTGTTGGTTGTGTTCTTCTTCTTCACTCAATTTACCTCAATCTTCACCTCTGTGTGGTGGGTCCTGGAGCTTCTGTGAAGTTCTGTCCCGAGGGGAAGTTGATTGGGGCGATGGTTCTCCCTCTTGTGCTCAACCTCAGGGAGTGCTCACTGCTTGAGGCTGATGTTATGCTGTGGGGTGTCAATCTGGTTGAGTTTGAATTTCATTGGCACATCTCTTGCTACTGTCATTTGGATGTTGAGTTACAGATTTATGGTTTGTTGTAAATTTGCACACGTGCCTGGTTCATAGATTGGTTTGCACAGTTTGTACTTTCTTTCTATGTATCTTGAGGTGAAGATGGTGTGAACCTTCCTCTTACTATGGATCAGAGGTTCTATTCCTGATACTGCTTGGTTTTGGACTGGAGTTGACGAGCCATAGCCAATCTACACCTTCGTACATTTTAGCTTTCCCTACATTCCTGCCTGTTGATGGTTCTTCTACAATCTTTCTTTTACGTGATTGAGATTCTGGTATATTGTGATTCAGATTTCAACCTATCATGCTTTCTCTCCCTGTTTGGTTGTTCTTCTCCCACTTTCTGCCCATGTATGCAACACCTCTTTCTACAATAGGCACAGAAGTTGTGTGGTCTTCCAGGTATATTTCTCTCCCATTGGTCATCACACATCTCGGATGTTCTTTGGATGCCTTCGAAGATACTTCTTTCTATCCATCGCAACGGCCCCCTCTGCCTATTCAACAAGGAATTCTAGTTATCCATGTCAGTGGAGGTAATGTACTGTATTGGAAGATATAATTTTCCTATACTAAAAATAGATTTCCAATAGTTTAATAGAATCAAATAGAGGAAGTCACATGTGTCAGGAGGGTGTGTCACACTCCTGTTGGTGGAGGTTTGTTGCACTATGATTTACATACGAGACATAGTTGAATCACGTTGATTGTGGAATATGTGGTAGTTAAAGGCTTGTGTGTATGTGAAAAAAATTTTGTATATAGAGGGCAGCATTGATTGAGAATAGCTATCCATGTGAGAGGAGATACGTTCTTATCAGAAATATATTTTCAGTACAGGAAAATAATAAGTTTTGAAAATTTGGAGAGTGTGCTAGCACTCTACATAATGATGGCATGGACAGTTATATGGAGGCAAAGCAAAAGTTATCTGGATTTCTTCTCTACAGGTTAACAGAAGCTAGGTTTTTAAGAGCTACCTGACATAGTCACTCTATCTCTCATGTATATGGTGCTTTTCAGCTATCCAGAGCATCCCAGTGTCAAAAATCGTGATTGCCAAAAACTAAGATTTCTTATTTATGTTCATCATCATCATCTTTCTTCAACAGGTCTAGCACCTACCTAGTTCCAGCAGTAACTATAATTTTATTATTTGATAGAGCAAAACAGTCTTCATGATCTTTGACTACCTATTTTATTATTATTCTATGCAAAATTTTAAAAACTTTAGAATACACACTATAGCCTAGTAACCCATGTATGTCATCTTGTAAAAAAAATAAGCAAACTTCTATAAACTGAGTTAATTTTGGGTTTGAGACCCAAATTATTTAACGCAGATTAGTATTTATTTATTACTAGACATAAAACTGTGGAATATTTAATTGTTGAATTAACAATTGAAAGCCACAGAAAAAGCCGGATAATTATATATTTAATTAAGTAGTTGGTTTTGTATTCTTAGAAATGTATTATTAATTCCACTTTACCCAATGTACATTAATGTCATAACTTGTTTCTCTGTTTTTGTCTTTTCAGAATAGTAACAGCAATGAGAGAATATAAGATAGTGGTTTTAGGGAGTGGAGGTGTTGGGAAAAGTGCCTTGGTAAGCAATGCAATAATAGATAATAACAGTATTAAATCCTTGTATTATTTTTAGTAAATGCATATACTGAGGAAGATGTCTTACTAAGTTCATCATTTATAATTGGATTCACATATTCGGTTATACAATGGTTAGAATATGGTGGATTTTAAGAATTGGTTATTTAGGTCAAATATTTGGGTGTTCAGAAATAAACAGTATATTGTGTGATGAAGACCAAATATATTGGATTACAACCAATAAATGTACCCAGTTTGCTAAAAATGTACTTTGTTGCATGTATGGTGCATTTTAATGTTCAGTTAGCTTCTTGATATCAGTTTGGTAAAAAAACAGTAGACAGTTGCGGCAAGCCTGTAGCCAGGTCTGGAAGAGGGGGGGGGGGTATTTTTGGTCCAAAGTGTTTGGAATTGGAAACATTTATTGATAGATTAACATTTATTTATGTGATATTCCCATATAGGTTAGTATCTTTCAGTTTATAATATTTGCTTATTAGATTTTCTGACTGACTTGTGTAGGGTCACATGAATGACTTAAACTAGCATTTGTTTACTGAGTTATAAGTTCAAAAATGTATTTGTTAAAACATTGGTGGGTGACAGATATTAAAGATCATCATATTCTTGTAGTACAAAGTGTGTTGTTGACATATTACTGATTTTTCTTTACCTTCACTGCAAATGATAAGAACAGAAAAGGAATTTATAATAACTTCTGACCAAGAAATATCTAACTGTATAGATCTGAATAAAAAAAAAAAGTAACTTTGTATAACCAACTGGCAAAAGAGCATAATATCGTATATCAGTATGTTTGGTGGAAAACGAAGTCTAATGAACATTAGAGCCACAGCAACAGTTGTTAACAACTTTAATGAACATTTTGGAATTACTCGTATTCCATCTTCAGCAAATCTATGAAAATAACAAATTGAACAATCTTTAGTATAATTATTAATATAAAACTTTCCTTCAGAACACCGTAAGAAAACTTAACACACAAATTTTATTACTAAGAAAAGAACTCCACTGAATAACATCCAAACATATCCAAACAAAGTCTCATTGTTAAAACCCAACACAACAATCTACTCAGCTCCTTCTACCCCTAGATTAAACTCTGTATTGTCTTCACATCGTAACTTCATATCACTAGCTTTTTTGGAACTTCACTCTATGTTCAAATGTTATATATAAATATATATGTGGTAGCTGTAAAGCCATCTACATAAGCAAGATTTCTTACCATTTACAAATGCACACTTTGTAACACATGGGAGTTTCCAACAAAACTGGACTTAAACTTCAAACTCCACTTAAATCTCCTATATATTCTTACAATGAAATGTCATTGTATCCCATTTGTTTAGAAGATTTTTCAATTCTAACTTATGGATGTAATAAATCGCAAACTACTGATAAATGAAAGTCATATTATGAATTAAAATCCAAGCCTCAATACAAATTCAAACTCATTCCCCCTGCTTTATTCAAACAGCTTGCTCTCCTTTTTTTTAAATTGAATGTTTCATAATTTCCTAACACTATTCTTTGTAGTTTTATATTAGTAATTATACTAAAGGTTGTTCAGTTTATTTTCTTAGACTTGCTGAAGATGTAATTCTGAAATATTCATTAAAATATTTACAATGGTTTAATCACAATAAAACCTTCCATGGTTCAGTCAGTGTAGTAGATATAGGTTAATCCTAAATCCATATTCTATCCTAACAAAGCAAAACAACTTTCACAATTATATAAGTTGATATTCAAAATTAAACCTCGTAAGTAAAGCTGGGTGATTAATGGAATTTCCTAGTAGATTAGTTATTGGGTTCATGAATCTGTTACATTCAACTAATCGATTATAATTACATGAAACTTGGGTAGTTGGAATAATCAAAAATAATAATAATCAGAAAAATGAATTTCAATTAGTTGATTATTTTTTTGAGCAAAATTTTGATTGCTTTCACAACATTAACTCAGTTTAAACATAATTTCAGTTAATTCATTATTTTATGACACTGGTGTGATTGATTATATTTATTAATCACAAAGTTCTCAGTTCATAAAGAATTATATTAATGAAACTAAGTTCAAAGAAAAATTGACTATTTCATTACTTACAACTTAAAAGCCATATTTTTGCTATTAAGATCCGTACAATTTACAAAAAAAACAGAAAGCTGAATATGAGTGTTCAAGTAGTCGTAGTAGTGCATATCCTAAAACAAAAAGTGACACCAATTCCCTTCTATCACCAATTCCCTTCAGAATTATGACACCTGTATAAGCAAATAATCCTCTCAAACAATGATAAAAGATCAATAGAAACTGATTTCTCAACCCCAGCATTGTAACTTTAATACAATTCTTTCTAGGAAAGCTCTAACTGATGCAATTCCAAGTTAAAATGGTCAACTAGCAATATTGCTTGAGAAAGAATGATAGTTTATGAAACTGGGGCTAAACTTTAAGTGCTGAAGTTGAAATGCCATTATTAACCATATGATTTTTCCAAATGTGTCTTAATTTGAATTGTATCTAAGCAATATTATGGCAAAATCACTGAAAGACTGTTTTTGTAAATACTGATTTAATCATTTCAAAGGGTAATTGAAAAGGAATTTACAAAACATGCCTGATTTTGATGTTAAAAGTTCTACTATTACCTGACAGAAAGAAGAAATAAAACTTTTTACAAGAGTGTTAAGGCATACAAATATTTAGCATTTTTGACACACTTCAAAGCATGTTCTGAACAAAACTTTCTGATGCAGCTGATAATTTTTCTTGTTCTTGTAATAAGTGTCAAATTTTTACGTTTGAGTTACTTTTATAATAATAAATAAAGAATATACATGAAAACAAAAAATATAGTACATACCTCAGTCTTTTTTTTGCTGTTGCCTGTTATTGATGAAACTTAAGCCTGCTCATTAATATCAATGGTACTACTACACTAAGTAATTTTTTATTTAATTAAGTAATGCACCTTAGAATACAGTATAATAAGATGCAAAAAGTGAACAATGTCCTATAACTATCATAATTTTTCTGGCTTTCTAACTATGTGACAAGAGCCTTTTAATATTCAACTAAGTTCTTCAAAACAGAACAATGAAATAGATAGTGCCCTATACAGAAAACAATACATCATTTTATAGATTACAACTTTGGCTTTCTGTTGATTATAAATAATATAGTGTAAAATATCAGAGAGAACTATTGGCAATTTGTGAAAAAGAGAATGTAAGTAGGTCTGATTTACTAGTTTATGGTTCCATAACTAAATAAATTTTATGGTTATAAAAATTATGCTTTGCCTGAGTAATATCTGTATTAAAATAATTTGTTAAATTCTGTACTTCTGGTAGTAGATAAATTAAAGAAGAGGAAGACCTGGAAAGCAAATGTCACAAATCTCATACTAGGGTACATTGGGGATTTTTTAAAGTATTTACTTATAAAATGAAGAACTTAAAACTTGTATTAAAATTTGATTTATTAGCTACATTTTGATGCCAAGTTTGTTCATATACATTGGTAATAAAGTAGTTTATAAATTTGAATGTAACTGTAAAAGATTGTGACATGCGAACTTTAACCTACCTGTTATGAAATGGTTAATGATTTCTGACTGTAGAGGGTAGTGAAGCATCACTAGTACACTGAAATTCAACTTAATTACCTGTGATTTGATTTGTTTGAGTATAGAAATTGCTATAATGTGACTAGTGGCCTTCATTTCTAACTCAAAGCTTTTCATGCCACTTGATAATTGGTCAGAAAAACAACAGTTTTCGATGAATATATGTTCCAAGTAAATGTTGTGATATTTTGTAAAATCCATTGGTTTGATTTGTAAATTGCAACCATTGTGATTGGCTGAATAAGAAATTTATGGTTCACATGAAAAAATGAATTAAAGATAAGAAATCTGAAAAAAAAGCAGCAAAGCTAATATATGCAATGTGTTACCTGTCGGCAGTTTGTGTAACAATATAACCTATTGTTTGACCATTTTAGTGAATAAGAATACTCACTATCATTTGAAGATGCTGTTGTGTTCATTGTGACTTTTGCACCACAAAGACATTTGAATGCAACTTGGGTTAATTTATCAGAATGAAACCATCCCATTTTGCACAGAACACTTAGTGACATAAAACAAAAACCAAATCTGGGTACTGATGCAGTAAACACATGATTATGTGATATTACTTACAGAAATATATAATTATTGCTGAAATAAACACATATAAAATTAGGTAAAATTGTTGAAGTAACTTAGTTCATAAAATGTACTTTACATAGTTTTATTCCAGTAATTTGAAAATAATCACACAGTTTGGAGTTTTTAAGAGCTTGTGTAAAACAGTAGATGCTTAATAAATAGTAATATTTTGTTCTACTATACCTTTTCATTACATACAAATGATGTGTATTAAATATTTTTCCTTTAGTTAGCTTTCATTTCCTCAAATATGAATATGTCATAATGACCAATGAGAGCTTGAGGGAGTGACATGTCATCTCGTTTGTTGACTTGCATTGAAAATTTTTTTGAACTACTATTTAATGAATTTATGTCAGTAAGTTTGGTATCAAATTGTAGATTATAATTCAAATTTTAAAACTATACTTTACTCAATTTCTTAATTTACAAGTAAATTAAAAAAAAACATAGATAAACATTGATTTTTGTGTCATGTGATATGTTGAATGCAGCACTGGTTGAAATTAGATCTTTGTGAAGTCAAAATACTAAGTCTACAGTTTTGTTCGATTATAAACTCAGATTACAGATATTGACAAGCTAGAATATAAAAGAAAGTCTTATCATTTCTATTTGCTAAGATATTGCTCAAGTAATAAAACACTGTGGCACCCTGCCCACCTCTTTCCATTTTTGGAAACACTCCATTATATACACTTACTTTTATATATGACATGAATAACCAATCGGAAGCTCAGAATGCCCCCTAGTGGTTTTCTCAGCCTTTCAAATGTGGCAAGTGCTATTTCTTTCTATTGAACCAAGATTTCAATAAGGTAGGTTGTGTCTTTAGTCTGCTCAAAATTTAATATTTTTTTTAAGAGTAAAATACATCTTAGTTACTAAGCTTGATAAATTATAGTGGAATTCTATGGTACTGATGTAATAATTTATGATTTTTTGG